TAATATTGGTAGTCTCAAAGAAGTATTTTACTGATTGTCAGCAGTGTTCATCAGGGGAGAATATCAGCGAAAGAATATAAGCTTTGATAACTTTTTCAAGCCATCTACATGTTTGAATTATCTGCCAGACATATGACTTTCTCATCTTGATCTCTACTGTTGAACTTTTCCATGATCTCACAGGTCAAAAATGTAATTTAGTTATTCCATTTGATTAATTTAGCATTTTGCTGAATTTCCCAAGTATTTCTTCAGTTGTTCAAATTATGAGTGATTTTTTTTGCTCTTTTTTTGATGTTTATAAAAGAATTTTTAGGGTTTTTTTTTACTAGCAGTAACGGCTTGATAGTATGGCATTTGTTTTTTGGGTCACTACAACCATGGGATTGCGTTGTAGTGGCTCTCTAGATTTAATAACCCTGGCGAATCTGGGGTTATGTTATGGGCAAGCAGGCCTCAGGAGAGCTGTTACTGAACTCATCCAGTATTGCTAAAATAGTGGAGACCATGGTTTGCAATTGCTTGTGTTTCCCAGTCATGGCCAAGAGGTCCCCTTTAAAGTTGTGGGTAAATTTGGGACAGTCTTTGAAGTTAAAAATATTTTTAACTTTCAATCATAATGTGCAATCTGTGGTTTTACCGTCTCCCGAGTACAAAAGAACACTTGGATAGAAGAATCTTGCAAGTTGTAGGGCAGGATTTTGAGACATCTATCACTATTTTTCTTCATCTTCAAAATCAGAATCAGATGGAATTAGCCTGGATTATATTAAAGGACTACTGAAACACCGGCATTCCATTGTTGCAATAAAAACTGGGAGATGGTCCTTCAAGAAAAGGTTTTGCTGTGTTCCCAAGTTTCTCTGTACATATTTGTAGAAAGAAGATCAGAAGTGTTTGAACTTAGACTTCTTCTGGTGCCAGGTACATTAGCATTCTAAAGTTGTCTTTACTGTCCTGGTCCACAAATCCTTAAATTGTGTAATTGATTTATAGATTGTAATGTTCTTAGATCTATTCCTTTTGTTTTCTGTAAAAGGATATACACACTAATGACACTACACACATAATAAATATTAAAATTTACATTCCTCCCTGACCTGCTCTGTCAGCTTTTTAAGGTGGACCAGATAAGAAGCAGAAACCATGGACACTAATGCTACCTTTATTGTAAGATTATAATTACAGAATCTTGCAAGTCAGAAAGTATTTCTCCCCTCCCTTACTTTTACTCTCCCCAAAACTAAGAAGGGTTCTTTCTGAGAGGCTTTCATCCTCCTCTCTCCTTTGAACTCAGATTTTATTTATCAGACCATTGTCTAGGCTACAGCTTTTCTTCTGTCTCCCAAAGCCATTCTCACATACTCTTACAAGTCTGTATATATTTCTATAATATCTTATATGTTCCACATAGGCAAGTGCCCCAATTTGAGTCAAGTAAATAGTCTCCTACATGTTCCATATAGAAGACTATTTACTTGGCTCAAATTGGAGCACTTGCCTATTAAGGGCAACAACTTGTTTCTGTTCAGACCCAGAAATAGAACTGGTTTCACATGAGCGATCAGATTTAAAATCTTGTGATGAAGGGAAAACACTAGGCTACTCATAAGTAAGCCATGGCTCATTACTGTAAATTCCTTCAGGATCAGGACTGGCTAAGCTGTTCTGCCAAAAGAGCAGGTGGGGAGTTTAGGGAAGGAGGTGGAGAAAGACAGCAGATACTAGAATATGAAGACAAAGAGAAGCTTGCAGAGAAAGAGCTTTAAATTATCCTCATCAAGGTCAGTATAAACAGGCTGCCCCATGTGTCTGTGCTACCCGGTTAGGAGTCATTTGTCAGGCACTAAATAGAATTGGCTCCTCTACTGGAATTCCTTAGGTGAAGAAAGGAAGGGAACAGAATCTTCTCAAGTAGGGAATTACCTGTTTGCTGAAGCTAGGATGCCCATTGAGTCTGCTGGTACAAAAGAGGGTAATGTACCTCAAACAGTTGCTGCCTGTCCCATCTTTTCCCCTTTGTTAGAAATTATTTTGAGAATTTATTTTTGAGTTGGATTGGATTGGATTGCTGACATTCCTGTGCTTGTTTTCAACCCTTGAACTGGAATGCTGGAATGCTGGGTCTGAGAACAATAAACTCTTTGACATTTTCTACATCTTTGGAGTCCAGTGTTTTATCTACTGTTACTCATGAGTCAGCTCCCTGTCTCACAGTCTAAAGGGACCCTTGCCACATATTCCAATTGCTAATAACACTAATTGCCATTGTGACCTGGAAGCGGGGTCATCACTCTTCAAAAACCTCTAAGAAGTTTGCATAATTTTTACCACCTCCGCGCCTTCCGTGCATGCGCAGAGCATCAAAAACGGGACGTGATGACATCTGGGCAGGTGGGCGGAACCTCCCATAGCCACCGCTCCCGGTTTTCCCGAACCGGATAGAACCGGCTGAATACCACCACTGATACTTATCAATGGCCATAGCTGTTAGAAACTGTTATTTTCCCCTCCCTTCTGCTATTAATTATTAGTTGCTAGTTGCTTTAGAGTTTTCTTGCAATTTTAAAAGTTCTTCTTATACTGTTATATGCTGGTATTTTATTGTGTTTGGACTTGCACCGTAATTAAATTTTGATTATTGGATTGAAAGTTCACATTTATACCAAATACATTGTGGAAAAAAGTTAGGAGTAATAATAATAAATCTCTGCCAATTAAATATGCATTGATGGACCTAGTATGTAAAATAGTTATATTGATCAAAATTTCACAGAAATCTGATGCCTGTTCAAACTCAAAACAGATGCAGCCAACAATGTCAATAATACCAATTTCAATGTATTTAGATAGGTATTTTGGGGGTTACATTCAATTCAATTTGCTTGTATCAGTTCAGTTCCTTGTAACAGCTCACAACTGATACCAATATCAGTTCAGTTTGGGTGTACCAATCTGCTTTTGTTCTCATTTTTTTAAAATACAGTTTCATTCTGAACTCTAATACACCCCAACAAAAAAGCTAATGATATTACAGCAGTAGTGGTTTTATAAACTTGCAGGGTTATTTTTTTTCCCCTTTTTTGATTATGGTAAACTAGTGTTTATAGTTTACTTTGCGGTATTTTTCAGAAGTTTAGTTGATTGGTTGATTACAGATCAATCAACTTTGCTCACAATAATTGAAATGTTTATCTTTCATATTACTGTATTTTGATGTTTGTTCAGAAGCATCACAATTAAAATAAGGCATATGACATAAAACAGAGGTGGGCAGCACATGAATTAACAACCGGTTCACCGAGCACCAAAAATGTGAGCATACATGCATACACTTTGCTCTCCCGCATGGCTTGCACGCCTGCACGCAGCTTAAAAAAAGCAGCTAAATAGAACGGCATAGCGCTGGGGTGGGGGGGCAGCCAGGTGGGTGGGTGGGGGCGGGCCCACTCCCACCATCAGGTCACAACTACCGGTTTTCCCGAACTGGTCTGAATCGGCAGCAGCTCACCACTGACATAAAATTTAAAATATAAAATACAAAATTAAAATATGTACAAGTTAAACAGATCTTGCCCAGAAACTAGCAACATTAATTGCATGCTGTCGCACTGCCATGAGGTCCTCAAGTGTACACTGATCGGGACACAAAGGCAGGTATATTATATGTGTTACTCTATTTTGATATTCAACCGTAATACAAATAAGCACTTTAATCTTTGTTTTGATTTTGTATGTTGATAGTATTCAAATGTGTGTGCATCTTTGTGTTTATTGTGTTCATAAGGGGCAGTGCAAGATAATGGAGTTTGTTATATCTAAAGTGACAAATTTATAAATACAGGTCTTAACACAGCATTTCATTTTTTTAAAAACAGAGTAATTCTTAATGTTTAATTTCCACACTGGTAGCAAGTTGACTCCAAAATTCAATAATTATAAGTGTGGATAGATTAGAAGCATAAATGAGTAGAGTAATAGATGGAGTTTTTAAACAGCTGCAAGGTACTTGCAAAGACAAGGTATATGGACAATATGATGGTGATGAACTTAATTAAAAAGTAGGGTTTTTTTCAATGGGTATAAAACTGTATATATATTCTGAATCAGGCATTTAGCATCTAAGGGCTTGGATTGTGCTTGGAAAAGAATCAAAAGCCAGTTGTTATCTTTTACCACCAACTAAGTATATGATAATAACATGTGCTGCACCAGTGAATATGATGTATAACCGTAGGAGCTATTTTGACAGGAACATGTTTTCATTTTACATTTCTGTTGTTTTGTTTATGTGTGTAATACATTTAATATACACTTTGCAGTATGTTCTACATTCATTGTATTTGCAACTATCTAAGGTAAATGCTGTTGAAGAAATTCATGACAGATTTCTTTTCGGGCAATAAGATGTGAAATACAAGTGGGAAATCCATTGTATTATAGATGAGAAGATAAATTCATGAAATACTCTAGCATTAGTTTTACAATATATCTGAGGTCCAAATTGCATACAAGAAAGCATATTTGGGAGAAGAGTGCATATATCTATATTTATAATCTATCTATCTATCTATATCTATCTATCTATCTATCTATCTATCTATCTATCTATCTATCTATCTATCTGCCTGTCTATCTATCTATCTATCTATCTATCTATCTATCTATCTATCTATCTATGGATCTATTTAGAAATAGAGAGATAGATAGATGTTGTAGAACATTACAATGAAAAATATTTTTCTTAATTGTAGAACAATAGAAAACCTTGAAAGCACTGATGATTGAATATTCTTTCTCCTGATCAGCTAGATATAAATCAGCCTATTTATCCCTACTGTACATTTTCTTATTTTTCTTTTTTATTACTTTGGTAAAACATCTTTTATTTTGTCCTTTTATTTTCTTTTTGCCTTTTCAGTAAGTTCTAAAAGAAAAATCAACTATTATTTTTTACTCTTGAGTTTTGATTTTATTCTCCATTTCTCTTTTTTTCAAAGGAACCATCTTGCTGGGAAGATGTTTTGATTCCAAACAGCATCAGTGGTATTTGTCATTACCAAAACTGCAGTGGAGAAATAGCGGTAAGAGACTATTAACAATTTTTTTTCCTTCCATGTCCGATTTTCAGACAGTGCCTGGACAAGTCCCTGCAGTTTTCTTGGCAAGGCTTTTCAGAAGTGATTTGCCATTGCCACTTTCCTAGGGCTGAAAGAAAATAACTGGCCCAAGGTTTTGCAGCCAACTTTGGTCCTAAGACTAGAATTCAATCTCCTGCTTTCTAGCCTGAAACCTTAACCACTACATCAGACTGGCTCTCATTAACCTATAGTGGCCATCAAGAAGTACCAGGAATCAGAAGGACTCAAGCATGTATCTATTTTACCAGAATGGTTACTGATTAAGGCAGGGGTTGCCAACCTTTTCTATACTCCGTACCCTTAGAACGCTTCTGATATATTCTTGCACCCCTTAATAACTATATGCATATAACTATGCATATACACTATAATTTTGAAACTTCTAAACCCAAGTTATTGCACCCCTTGGAATATCATCTCACACCCCCAGGGGATGTGAGCACCCCTGGTTGGGAACCTCTGGATTAAGTAGTAGGAGCATTCATGAACCATTACCTTGTAGAGAGGACAAGAGATCATAAAAGAGGGTCATATGGAGATGGCAACCTGTTTCAGTATTCCCCTTAAAAAAAAACTGAGCCAAAATGATCTTGAAAAATAAGCCTGCCAGGTCAAAAGGGATCCAAATAACTGCAGAGGAAGAATAAGTATGAGTATCACTGATATTTACAATGAGTCTGAATTTAAGGCAAAAAGACAACTTGCTACTGATGAGGCTGGAGGCTAAAGGAAAGTTCACACACAGAGACGCAAAGACACAGTCACACACTCGCTCTTCATTGGTGAGCAGATTGGCTAAGCAAAATTTCATTTTCCAGGATTTGTATGTAGGCCATTCTTGTTGATTTTCATGGATCTTGAGAGAATCAGTTATAGAATTAAGCACATTTTCAACTAATTTTCAAGAGTCGTTGTGCAATAAACTGTGTTAGTTCCGATTGTATTTACTACATATATACCCCTGCTTTTTTCCACTATGGAATTTAAGTCCACAACCATATATTTATCAAAGTTATACCTGCTGATTTCAGCAAACTGATCACCAAACAGATCTTGGGATTTGAAACCTGTGAAAAACTGAACTAAACATCAAGCCTCTATGAATTGTGAACTTGATTCCTTCTCTGAATATTATCACTCAAGTTGGGAGAAGTAATAGCTAAGATAACTTGAAAAGTAGCTGCATTTTAATATTTGTTCCAAATTACTTTGCAGAGTATAATGTCCTCATATCTCACGATTGGATCAGTCACCTATTTTCCAAAATACAATTAATAAAATTTGCCCACCATGTTAATCCTTATAAAGGTTTCAAAAGCTTTTCCCATATATTTTAGAGATGCTTGTCTGTTTTATTTACCTTTCACTATGTTTATCTCACCCTCATATGAAGGTGAAGGGCGGTAAACAAATTAAATTAATAAATACATAAATAAATAAATAAATATGTTTTTACAAAAAAGATAATAGAAAAATAAGAAACTTCTTCAAGGCACCACACCAAAAAATAGATGCTCAACAGACTTTCAGATATTGTAATAAAATGCCCGTCCCTAATTATGTGTGCACTAATTTTTTTTCATTTATTTATTATTTTACAGAATATACAGTACCGTTCATTATTAAAGTAAACAAAAAAATCAATTTCCAATTGGAAATTTTTGGAAAACCAATTTTAAATCATCATGGTTGATAGAATACACAGGATATAGAAATAGCATCCAGTCTGTGATTGAGGGTTAAATTCTTTTCTCTTTTATTCTCTTCCAGGATGTAGTCTGAATCCTAGCTGATATTGTGGATAAGGCTAGTTAATTTGCCAGCATCTTTCCTCATAGCTTTTCAGGTTTTCTTGGAGGAAAACCTGCTCAAGATAATCCTTGATTACGGCATGTAATCCCAAATCTAATCTATGATTAGAAGTACAAATTCATCTGGATATTTCTCTGTCCTGGGAATAACCTTACAATGTTCTGATAACCAGAACCCAATTGCTATAATCTCCTAAACATGTGATACTTTTATCCCTTAGGATTTTAACTATAATGTTAGTATACTTTATGAAATCTGCTTGTGCAGTAATGTAAAATGTCAATGAGGACACTAGTAAATATTTAGATTGCAATCTTAAAATAGAAAACGTGATTAGAGCTTGACTTTAGGATTTGGCTTTCCCATTAAATTGTATAGATTTAACCATTACAGATGCTATCATGTTTTTCCCTAAAGCATTTTTTCTCAATTTTCTTTTGAGTGGCAGCACAATTCAACTTGCTTGTTTTACTGAATGTGACTGTATTAAGTCATAAATACAACACCTAATGTAAAACAATTCATAATTCTAATTAAGCATGCAGTCCTTTGCATGTGTGTTCTAAATTAATAGGATATATTTGTAAGTAGGCATGATTTGAGACTGAGATATTATTTGTGATATGACTGTAAGAACTTAAGTAGAATCAAACTACTTTTCCCCCTTTGGCAATTATGGGTACAGTGATGTATCTTATAGCTAAAATACATGTATCTTCCAAAGTAAATTTTCTACAGCCAGTTTTATTTCTACCAGAACTTCAGGAATGTATTTTTTTTTCCTTACTCTTTCATGTTGGCAAGAATATTTCTCACTGGGGGAAAATATACCTGCTCTAATTTTAAAACTCTAAAGCTTGTAATGGGAAATTATTATTAAAGGCATTGTCATGTAAAGAGCAGTATCTTAGGGTTTGTGAAGTGAGCGATTGTGAAGCAAGTGAAGGTTCTCTATTTCATTTTTTAAGCACCAGGCAATTAAGCAGTCTCTTTTCCTTAGCCAAGTTGTGAACAGCATGAAAGGATCATTGAGAGTCTAACAGAATCAAGTCTTTGAGAAGGTGAGCAAAAAGACAGAACCATGCCCTTCCTGAGAATCATTCTGAAGTAATTCAACCGCAGGGGACTCATCAACTCACTGGGATGCACCAGAGGATAACTCTAGCTAAAAGATTTATCCACTTGCAGCAGTAAAATATTAGACACGGGATTCAGATAACTGAAGAAATGTTACACTCTGGCTATCAAGACACATGTGAATCACATTATTATCCCAACATGTTCTTGATCTTGTTATTGTTTAACTAGGTACATCAGATTACTTAGGTATTAATCCAGGGGTGAAATCCAGCAGGTTTTGACAGCTTCTGGAGAACCGGTCGCAGAAATTTTGAGCAGTTTGGAGAACTGGCAAGTACCACCTCTGGCTGGCCCCAGAGTGGGGTGGGAATGGAGATTTTGCAATATCCTTCCCCCAGGAGTGGGGAGGGAATGGGGATTTTGCAGTATCCTTGCCCTGGAGAGGGGTTGGAATGGAGATTTTGCAGTATCCTTCCCCTGGAGTGGGGTGGGAATGGAGATTTTGCAGTATCCTTCCCCTGCCATGCCCACCAAGCCATGCCCACAGAACCGGTAGTAAAAAAAATTGGATTTCATCACTGTATTAATTCCAGAATTTCCCAAGTGTTTCTGACTGAAAAAGTCCCTACAAAGCTCTTTAAAAAGGAGTCCTTTTATTTAATGGAGAAGGTTTTTCTCTAATAGTGGTCTAATAGCACTTAATATTTACCCTTAGTTGTTTTTTTTTCCATCCCAAATGAAATAGAGCCAGAACTGAAGCAAAAAATCAAAAGTTGGGGACCACAGCAGCAGTTGTTAGAAAAGCAGCATATAAAGCAGCATCCTCCCCTCTCTCCTACAGACCTTGTAAATCATCTTACAGTACGAGAACAACTGATATGATCTGTTGGAGCTTTGTCCACGCAATTCTTTGCTTTTCGAGAATGAAGACATGCATGAGCATTGTTGCAACGAGGCATTTATGCACAGGACTTAGTGCTACCAGCAGAAGGAAATATCCTGCTTCTCCTCCATGGCAGGTTCTGAGTTAATATTCCAATTAAAGATCCAGGCTGCAACTGGACAGCATCTCAAATGATATTACACATTAAAGAGCCTTGGTAGTACAGTGGTCTAAAGCACCCTGTTATTAAGAACAGCTGCCTGCAATTATTGCAGGTTCGAATCTCGCCAAGGCTCAAGGTTGACTTAGCCTTCCATCCTTTCTAAGGTAGGTAAATTGAGGACCCAGTTTGTGGGGGCAATAAGCTGACTTTGTATAAATATACAAAAGAATGAAGGCTATTGCTTAGCGCATTGTAAGCCGCCCTGAGTCTCCGGAGAAGGGCGGCATATAAATCAAATTTAAAAAAAAAATACTATACACTTAATGCATTTGACTGTACATTTGATATCAAGGTGGGATGAGGATCAGGTAGGCCAGGCTCTTGCCTTACAGTACAAGTAAGAGGCCAACAACATTCCTTGCTCCATGTGTTAATTTGAAATCTCTGAGCTCAAAGTGATTGCCTGTTCTGTAATCACAAGACCTTGGAGTGTTAGGGGGACATGGTTCACTGGTTAGTGAGGAGAGGAAAATAACTAGAAAACAGAAACTGTCTTCTTATTTTCTTGGCCACTGAAATGCATGCATAGAAGAAGTATGGCTAAGAATTGGTTTGATATGTACAGAATGTCAAAACTAGGACATCTGTTCTGTATCAATGTTTCAAGAAAAATCTGTAGAAAAGCTGGTCAGCAAGAGTCTAAGACTCTGATAAATAAGGAAAAATAACTTATCCTTACTGTTACAGTGTTTTTGAGGCCACTGATATTTTTGGCTGTGGAGCTTGAAAAGATGCCTGGAAGTGCATTGGAGTGTTTCCCAATTTCTTTAGGTGATTTGTGGTGGCTTAAAATTTTATACTGGGACCAAAAAAAAAAACAAAAAAAAAAAAACCCCAACACTTCAAGGTTTGTTATCCAGTCTGTTATACCAATGATCTGTAATTTATGATTTTAGAGTTTTGGGGGCATATTCTGTCAATCTGCAATTAATCTTCTAGCATTTA